ATACATACATACATACATAACTACTACATACATACATACATACATAATACATACATACATACATACATACATACATACATACATACATACATACATACATACATACATACATACATACATACATACATACATACATACATACATACATACATACATACATACATACATACATACATACATACATACATACATACATACATACATACATACATACATCATACATACATACATACATACATACATACCATACATACATACATACATACATACATACATACATACATACATACATACATACATACATACATACATATCAATACATACATACATACATACATACATACATATACATACATACATACATACATACATACATACATACATACATACATACATACATACATACATACATACATACATACATACATACATACATACATACATACATACATACATACATACATACATACATACATACATACATACATACATACATACATACATACATACATAATACATACATATACATACATATATACATACATAAAACATGTTAGCTTATTTCAAATTACTCAAAAATGAAACAAGTAGGCCTCTGGTTAAGAAAATCATAAAAAAAAGTTTTAAAAAACAAGCTTTTATGTACTTATGCACTCAAAAGTAGAAAATAAATGAGTTTCTGTAAACACATAGTAATATATTTAATAACAATTCGTCAATAACGTTATAGTTGGTTATTGTTTAAACAAATTCATGACCTTATATTGCTATTGTCTCTTATTTCTTCTTATTTCAATACGTTAATTTAAAATCTTCATGTCATAAAAGGGCCAAAATATTATTAAATCTAAAGCTTAATATAACAACAATGTATCCGGTTCTAAGAAAACCTATTTATAGGGACAACACAATGAGACATTTTGTTCTTGCCATACCTAACACCCGACAAGGCGGAATAACACAAGCTGTATGTGACCTATTTAGTCATGTGTAAAGTTGTTGCGAAATAGCGGCCCCAGGGGTGCGGTAGGTAAGGTAAAGAACGTTTCTCGAATAGGAGCTTAATTAATCAATGCTTTTAGAAGAAATGATATTTTCGAGCAAATAAAAAATAAAAAAAACTATGTATGTCTGTTTAAAGCATTGTGTTGAGTCTGTTGTTACTTAAAGGATTAATATACATTACAAAAATTTCTAAGTATCTTGGAACAACGCAAACAGGTTAGTTTGTTTATAATTTGATAAAAATAAATCTGATTTTAGTAATCAAGTAAACAACTAACAGTTCAGTACTTTGACGATATTGACGATACGCAGTTTCCAACAAATACACAACTGACAAAACACAAACACATTATATATATATATATATATATATATATATATATATATATATATATATATATATATATATATATATATATATATATATATATATATATATATATATATATATATATATATATATATATATATATATATATATATATATATATATATATATATATATATATAAAGCAATATATGTGTGTCTGTCTGTCTGTCTGTCTGTGTATGTGTCTTTAATGCATTACCACACCTCTAATCACATCGCCGTCGAACTTTGGGAAGTTGTTAAGAATATTCCTGGGGAGGTTTCTGCGAAAAAAATTAATTTCAAATTTCAAATTCGATTTGTTTTCTCTCTAAATACGGTAAACAAAAAAAAGTCGATTTCGGTTTGACACCATTCATCCGATCGCCATCAAACTTTGGTGAGTTCATTAGAACACTCTAGGGAAGAGTTCTGTAAAAAAAATCGTTTATAATTTCACATGGGCGGCGTCACGGGAGGTGCGTTTTTTCTCTATGTCCGTTATATTTAAAAATTCGATTTTAGTTTGATACCGTTCATCCGATAGCCATGAGACTTTGGGGGAGTTGATAAGGACACTCCGAGAAAGTGTTATGTAAAAAAAAACACTTTTATTTTGGCAAGGGCTGCGCCACGGGAGGGTGCGATTTTTCACTATATACGGTATATAAAAATAATAAAAGTTAATTGCGGTGACACCGTTCACACGATCGCCATGAAACTTTGGGAAGATGTTGAGAATATTCCTGAGGAGATTTCTGTGCTAAAAATATTTTCAAATTTGCAGGGGTTGTGCCCCGACAGGGCGCGATTATTTTTTTTTCTTTATAACGGTATATAAAAATAAAAGTCGCTTTTGGTTTAACACCGTTTATCCGATAGGCATGAGACTTCGGGGATACGATTAGTACACTACATGGAAGGGTTCTGCACAAACTTTTTTTTTTCGCATGGGCGGCGCCCTGGAGGGAGCGATATTTCCCGATATACAGTGTATAAAATAAAAGTCAATTTTGGTTTGACACCATTCACCCAATCGCCATCAAACTTTGATGAGTTGATTATAACTCTCAAGGGTAGGGTTCTGTAAAAAATTTTTTTTTTTTATTTTGAAAGGGCGGCGTCCCCGGGGGGGGGGGCGATTTGATCGCTATACACGGTATATAACATAATAAAACTTGGATGCGGTTCATCCAAATGCCATGAAACTTTTTAAAGTAGATGAGAATACTCCCGAGAATATTTATGTGAAAAAAAAAATTCTTATGGGCGGCGCCATGGAGGGTACAATTTTCCTCAACAAACGGTTTGGCGCCCAGAGTTTTAGAGCGACTATGTTGGCACTTGGCATCCGTTAATCGAGCGTCCTGCATAGTGAGTAAGGGGTACTACTATATGCAGCGGTAAAACTACAACAGGCTTCTAAAAATAACTTTGTAACGCGAAGGAAATCCTTCTGTACAGTTTCGTCACCTTGCGAAAGATGAAAAAATAACTTTTTGAATATGAGGAGCCTACTGTAGAGTTTCGTGACCTTGCGAATGAAGCAATAAGCATCTATTTTTAGACAATCCAATCAGAAGTTGAGATTGAGCTTTTAATAATATACCATTAGTAACGCTAAGTCACACTGATTCTTTTAACATATCAACAAAAAAAATGTACATGTTAAAATCCCATTTGATTTGTTTCTGGATGCTATGTGACGCTCTGCGTTATCCTGTTAGCACATTGGCACTTTGTTATTTTTAAAGAGCCAACAAACCTACGCTACCGCTCTGCGGTAGTGTTATTGTGGGGCTCCCGAGAGTGCCTCTCTATGATTTTGATACATGGGTGGTCACGAAGTTTGATCTACATCATTATTATTCGGTTAGTGATTAACGAACATTCAAGGATTTCATTTGGTAGTGTAGGTAAATCCGTGTCCCGATAATTATGATCCAAGCGCAGGCATTGTTTATATTTAAATAACACAGTTTTAGAAAACAAGGTCACGCGTCAAAGAACATATGATTAGTAACGCATTGGTGAAATCCTTCTAATATATTTCGATTTTCCTCCATATACGATATATAAAAATAATAAAAGTGAATTGCATTGACACCGTTCATCCGATAGCCATGATACTATAGGGGAGTTGATTAGGACACTCTGGGGAAGGGTTCTGTATAAAAAAATTAATTTCGCAAGGGCGGCGCCACATGAGGGTGCGATTTTTTCTCTATATACGGTATATAAAAATAATGAAAGTGAATTGCGGTGACACTGTTCATACAATCGCCATGAAACTTTGGGAAGATGTTGAGAATATTCCTGGGGAGGTTTCTGCGCTGAAAAATTTCAAATTCGCAGGCGTGGCGCACCGGCAGGGTGCGTTTTTTTTTCTCTATGTACGTGTACCATGAAACTTTAGGGAGATGATTAGATCACTCAATGGTAGGGTTCTGCAAAAAAATAAAAATAAAATATTGCAAGGGCGGTGCTCCCCGGGGGGAGCGATTGTTTTTCTATATACACGGTATATAAAAAATAAAACACACATCAAATATTTTTTTACTTGTTAAAGAAAAAAATCCTGTTCATTTGTGTCACTTTAGCGAATGACGAAATCTGCATCATTGTTCACAGGATGCTATTTGGAAAGTTGGGTTATCCCAAGAGCACGATGGCGCCTGTTAGTTTTAAGGAGCCAGGGGCCGTACGCTGCGCCTATTCGGTAGTGTAATCGGGGGGTGGGGGGCTCCTGAGAGCGCCCCTCTACGCTCTGACACATGAGTGGTCACCGAAGTATGTTCTACCTCATTATTTCGGTGAGTGATTAATGTACACTCAAGGTTTTCATGCGGTAGTGTAGGAAAACCCGTGTCCCGATAATTATAATCCAAGCCTGTATCGTGGTGATGGTAATGCACATGGCAGTGGTATCCTTTAAATGGGAGTAGATCACTCTCACAGCAGCCCTAACAGTCATGTATAAATGTGTCATCATCTAGTCCATATTGGTCTTTGTGCTAAATTGATCTTTTGCACATTTTTCTGTTTGCGCTTTTTTTCTGTTTTGCGCTTTTTTTCTGTTTGCCCTTTTTTCTGTTTGCGCTTTTTCCGTTTTGTGCTTTTTTCTGTTTTCGCTTTTTTCCGTTTGCGCTTTTTCTGTGTGCGCTTTTTTTCTGTTTGCGCTTTTTTTCTGTGTGCGCTTTTTCTCTTTGCGCTTTTTTCCGTTGCGTTTTTTTCCGTTGCGCTTTTTTCTGGTCACCGTTTTATTTTATGATTAACTGTGTAATTAATTACTATAATGTTAGTGCGGTTAGGTGCAGTCCTGATTTTATTTCTCTGTCCACTTTTTGCAGAGCAGGGAAAGGACATTTTGTTTACTTTCAAAACGACATAGTATAACAAGGTAGGTGGAGGGAACATTGCTGTATTTAACCCAGGTTGGGGGATTGGATAATATGTAGTAGAGATGGGCAAGTTGGATTGATGGTGGGCGTGGTGAAAATTATGTGTGGTTTAACGCAAAATAAATGAGTATCTATCATACAAGCAAAATTTTAGTCATAAAAGACTTTAAATGTCGTATGACATAGATATCTTACAGATTTTCTTACGGTGGGGGGGGGGGGGTGTGACACTATCAGGTGCCACACCGGGTGACACCCGACCTCGCTACGCCACTGATATATATGCCTTTATATATATATATATATATATATATATATATATATATATATATATATATATATATATATATATATATATATATATATATATATCGTGGAGGGGGGGGGGGCGAAAATGTTTTTGCGGGGTGGCCCTTTTTTCTAGTTTCCCCACTGCAAACTGCACAATTTACAAACAGAAACTATGCAGCTTTTTTTTTTTTCAATGTTTTCAAATCGAAAACTTAGGACGATTTACTTGGAATGTGCCAGAACATGTTTAGCTTATTTTGTTGTGGGTGCAGAACTAATACTTTAAGGTCAAGGTAACCTTTAGCGAACAAACACGTCTGGCCTGTTGTCGTATACAAATCGCACAATGGAGAAAAATGTGAGGAATTCAAGTGTGCCTATTTTAAACACTATTGTCTCTAATAAAGCGGGAGTGGTCTCAATTTGTTTTTACACGATTACAATACCTTCTCTATAAGCCTACTTTATATACGAGAAAGTACAAAAATCGATTTCTTTACAAATCTTGTCGTTTTACATATCCCTGAGAGGAAAATAATAGTTTTGCAATATTGTCATTATGTCTATGTAGATATGTGTGTGTGTGTGTGTATTTGTGTCTGTGAACACGATAACTTGAGTACCACTACAGCTAGACTTTGAAATTTGCGGTTCGCTGTCAACCACATACAGAATTGAACTTTGTATATTAGATATATACTAGCCGAAAAAAGGAGGAAAAGAAAAAAAAAAAAAAAAGAAAAAAGAGAGAGATACCATGACATGTGTGTTTAGTAATCGGTGTACATCCGGCTTTGCCCACCCTAACCACAACCAAACAAAACAAAAACAACCGCAAACATAACGCAAAAACAAATACAAAATACAAAGGAAAACATAAACGCAAACACAAAACCAACCACAAATTCAAACACAAATACAAAGAAAATACCAACGAAAAGCAAACGAAAACAAACCAAATCCAAACGCTAACCCAACATTAAACGCACACACAACTAAAAAAACAAAGAAAACACAAACGCAAACATAAACATAAACGCAAAGTGCTCACAGTCTAGCCCGGGACCGCTTGTTTCAGCTTAGAAAACGACTATATTACCCCAACTTTTGCACTCACTAAACGAACGTAGTCGCCAAAGCGAACACGGGAAAGCCTGGATGCCAAATAGCACCCTTTATTGGGCGCCGGAGGACGCCCGGATTTGATTCACGAATAGACAATAGTAACCTTTCTTATCCAATAGTGTCTTTGGTAGTAAAACTGTACACTGCTAAATTTTCTGTTGAAAATGTCTGCTAAAAAATTGGTACGCACTATGGTGACGCCAAAAAAAGGCAACGTTCAGCATTTTTGGTGCGACCAACAAAAATGAATTCCCCCCCCCCCCCCCCCCAAAAAAAAAAAAAAAAAAAAGAAAAACTCGAATGCACAAAAAGACACAATTAATAACCTGCGGGAATTCCCGTTCCCGAATATAGAACTCTTTTGTTACTTCAATGGTCGTTGATTAAAAATAATAATTTGAAGTTCGTTCAGTGTATAAAATAAATAAAATGCAATATTTAAAATACCTACCCCATTTCATTTGATCAATCCATGCTAATTATGTAATTTTTTTTCCGAACACCAGAAGAAAGTAATAAAAGGTACATTTTTTCCTCCCGATGTAATGGTTTTTATAAAGGGATGTAATTATGTTTTCCGATTTATCAAGGGACATAAGGAATGCTAAAGAACTAAATGTGAATAATTAGAGATTTTGTGAAAGGTGAAAAGGTTAAATAAAATACTTAAAAAAACTTTTTAAAAAAACACGTTTTTCTTGTGGACTAAAAAGAAGAAAATAATTTTTTTCTTTTGTGCTTCCTCGAGCTGTGCAGGTTCTTGTGATGGCTGACAAAAAACGTGGGTACGTTCACCATCAAATTTCCCGACCCATCTGCCCGACCCACGTTTTTTATCAGTCATCACAAGAACCTGCACAGCTCGAGGAAGCACAAAAGAAAAAAATTATTTTCTACTTTTTAGTCCACAAGAAAAACGTGGTTTTTTAAAAAGTTTTTTTAAGTATTTTATTTTCTCCTTTTTAGTCCGTTGCTACACATGAAAAACGTGGTTTTTAAAAAAAAGTTTTTTATATAGTTTATTTTCTACTTTATCTAATGACTTGATTAAGTATGACTTAACTAAGTGTTTATAAATACACGGACTAAAAATCTTGAGCGACCAGGATTCGAACCTGGGTTGTCGCGGCCACAACGCGAAGTACTAACCACTATACGATCACGGCCAGCGCGCTCACATCGATTGGGGCCGAAGTAACTGTGTCAATAGGCCTCCAGTCTTGTCGGTATCTTTAGAAATCATGTCCTCAATTTTATGGTCCTTGGGGCGTAATTAAATTAAGCTAATTACGGTCTCTAATTGCTAGTTTTTATGATTGCATCTGAAATTGTTAGGCGAAAGTAGCCTGTATGCCAAATTTCAGATCTCTAGAGCAATCAGAAGTGGGCTAATTTTCGATGTCAATTTTAACAACAAACAAATCCATCCACAAACGCGAGCTGAGTTAAGAAAAACGTGTTAAAAAATGTGTTTGATTGACATGCCAAAAATTATCAACAATTATTTTAGACTTTGGAATCCTCGGTCCGTCCGCCCGCAACTTAATTTAACTTTATATATTAGAATATATTCATAGATATATATTGTTACATATTTGTATATGAATAGGTTATGGATATATATATATATATATATATATATATATATATATATATATATATATATATATATATATATATATATATATATATATATATATATATTTGTTTTCTCTTCCGTTTCTATTAAAATAATTCTAAAAGTATATTTTATAATATGGTCTCGTTTGCTAATACATAAGAAATGCGCTTCTTACTTAGTCGTACACAAGATTAACCAATCTTTTAGTAATAATGATATGGTACTGCTCAGGCTATACTTGTCTACGCTGTTCATTTAATGTTATTGTGTGCACTTGCTTTATAAAAAATAAAATACGTGGAAATAATAACAAATACATACTTTTTTCAACTGAAATTTAACATAAAATTTCTTAGCGCTTGAAGATTTAGAGTCTGTAGTATTCAACAACGCGACAGACAAACACTACCTTAAAATATTGCGAAAACTAACCACTTTATCAATCCTTTATTCTTTTAACTTTTACTGTATTTTAAAATCATTTTTATACATCACGTAATTCTTATAGGATTTCATAAATTAAATTAAAATAGATAGTCTTTATTTTAGTAGAGTGTAAAAGAGAACTGCTATTCAGTGGCGTAGATATGTTAAAGCTAGAGTAAGCAAGGCATTGGGGCCCAAGGAATTTAGCTCCCTTTCTCCCTCTTTAAAAAGTTTAAAGTTTTACATTAGAAATTCATTACTTAATTTATATAAATTATTTGAATAAGAAAGTGGAAATCTAGCTGTTTTCTACTTTAGAAATAATTTAAATTTTAAAAATGCCCCACGTCCTTCATGATTGCGTTCAGTGTGGGTGAGAGGGGGGGGGGGCGTCGAACAAGGCCCACCTGTCCCAAATACACCACAGGCATCAGTGCGGACATGACATTTAACGAATGAGGCTATAATTAAACTTGAACTTTGACTCCTATCTGAGATACGACAACGGGCATCCGTAAATTAACATGTACAACTAAACCAATAACTACGTGCTCACCACAACAATGCAAATTATTGAATTCATTGCCTAGTCTTGGAGATATTTAATTTGTTTTCTTATGTGTTTTTACGATTAAGATTATAAAATATGACAATTTAAAAAAAAATTATGTATGTAATCCAATTAAAATTTTGACAGTATAACTGTTATATAAATTGTTTGATTTTGTCGATGACATCTGCCTACTATCTTACAAGCATCAATATACACAAGCCAAACTAAATTGGCTATGTGAAGAAGCCTCCAAAGTTGGAATAAAAATCAATAAAAATAAAACAGAGGTCATTAGAATCAATAACAGCCAGGACCTGCCCATACAGCTAAATGGAGAAGATTTACGAGAAACAAATTCACATATCTGGGAAGCGTGATCAATAAGGACGGGGGAGCAGACGAGGACATAAAATGTCGTATCAATAAGGCTAGATGTGCCTTCAACTCACTGCGCCCGATGTCACGGCCATGTCACTCCGTAGAAAAATGGGAATTTTCAACACAAATTTCAAAGCGGTGCTGCTCTATGGCTTGGAGACTTGGAGAGTTACAAAGACAAATACTAACAGGCTTCAGGCGTACGTAAACAAATGCTTACGACAAATACTTAAAATAAGATGGCCAGACAAATTATTAAACAAAGACCTGTGCCAAATTAAAAGCAACAGCCGATAGAGAAAGATATCAAGGCCCGTAAATGGGGATGGATCGGACAAACGTTAAGAAGAGAAAAAGAAAATATCGAAAATCATGCTATGGACTAGAATCCCCAGGGAAAAAAAAGAGGGCTGGCTCTTTGCTCCCCAGGGCCACAAAGGAATGATGATGATGATGAAATTGTTTCCTAAAGTTCAAACCAGAACAGTGCATGTCATGATTTTTGTTTTCAAAACTATTTCGGTGATGTATCATTTTTGTAAAACGAAATAACTTAACACCTATATATATACATACATATATATATATATATATATATATATATA